ATCAAAAATTGAACACTTTGCATAGATGAGAGAAAAGCCAGCAGGAGAGGAAAAAGAAATCAACCTCAAATCCTCCCTCAAATCCCCCTAAAAACCTTTCTTCTTTTTTACTTCCAGTTATTCTATTCTTCCAAAATAAAATTCATTTTCATCAATTCCATAAAAACAAAAAAAGCGAGAATTATTTTTCTTTTATTAAGGAAAGGCCTCTCAAATAAATTAAACACCTGCTGCCTTGACAAATATGGGTAATTATAATAAGAATTTCTGACTTTTCACTTTACTATTTTTATTTTTTTAATTAAAAATAGTAGAAAATGTAATAATATTACCTAATTAAATTTCAATATTTATTAAAAAGTTGTGGTTAGTTTGCCAGCTCGCTCGACCCGAAACTCGAAAGATCGAGCGAGCCGAGGCTTATCAGCTCGAAAAGCTAGAAAACGAAACGAATCGAAAAAACCCTAGCTCGAAAATTATGCACCAAACGTCGGCTCGAGCTGAAAACGGCACCCTAGTTATGGCTATTAATTTGTTCCCGGCTTAGATTCCTTAGTTTTAAGCAATAGCTTTACTTTATTGACAAAATCTTCTTCAAGTACCATTTTATGAATAAATATGAGTTGTATTATGGGCTGTCTTAATAATATCTTGATAATATATAGGCTGCCTTCGGCCTTCGCCTTTCACAATGATAAATATTTCAAACATGATAAATATTATCCGGTTATTAAAAAATGTTTTATCAATTATTTTATAATTAATTTAATGGAAATTTTACGGTTTTTACTGTATTTATTGTCATTATTTAAATAAACATTTTCTGATCACAATAAATTATTTTTATAAAAAACTTGGGAAATAAACAGAAAATTTTGAGTTACCTCTCTCACCCCCCTACCCACAAAACAAATAAATTTTTTTGTCTATTGTCTTTTCTCAGCCAAAATATACCTAAATTAATATTGAAAAATGAGAATATAATTATAGATACATAACTAACTACCTTTTTTAATTTTTATTTTTCTAAATTTTCTATAATTCTTTACAAATTGTTTTTTTTTATTTTATTTTTTGCGCATTTCCAAATTTTTCTTTTAATTAATTTTTGGCTTTTATTTTTAAAAATAAATTGCAATTAAAATTTTTTTTTATTTTCTTAATCCTTTTTTGCATTTTATGTTGACATATGTTTTTTTCTTTGGAGTTAAAATTGAGAGAATTTTTGGGGTTGTTGAAGGGAAAATTATTTGTCGTTTAAATTTATTAAAATTTGATTGCCTCAATTTATTTTTGTTAGACACAAGAGCCGTTGTTCATAAGCTTATACCATAATTCGTACTCGTAATTTAGTAGAAATTTGTGAACACTGACAAGAACTCATGTTGATTCCATTCTTTAAATTTCTCATTTCCATATTGTATACTAAATTTGCTCTTTTTCTGATCTAAATTAAAGATTTTGGGACTTTATAGGGTTAAAGCTTGACCGCCCCCTTCCAGCTCACTCAACTTTAATTAATTTTAATTTTTAGAAATTATTTTAAAAATTTTTTAGATACTCGCAGAGTACATACTTTACATTCTCATCCTCTCGTAGGGTGTGCTTCTATTAGAGCATTTACGGTAATTAAAATTTTATAACACTAAGACATCCTTAGTTAGAGAATTTGAATTTATACATAGAAAATGAACCCAAGGGGGTGGGGGGGGGATTTAATAGGATAATGTGGGTTTCCTTATGGGATTTTTTGTAAAGATCTATTATTGTGTTAATAAATATACTATAAAAATAATTATTTTATAAATTCCAAAAAATTTTCTTAAAAATATTATTTTTAAAAATATTTTTATAACCAAAAAAATAATTTAAAAAGCATTACTAAATTGCGTGCCAAACCTATTTTCTCCCTTTTTTAAATAAAAAATCGTTTTTTGTCTTCCCCGCATTATTTTTTAAAATACAAAATTGTAGGTTTTGTTAGAAATTTATTTTTGACCTTCAATTAAATGACTAAAATGGCGATATTTTTTCTGCCATTTTATTTTAGATTAAAGTGCCAATTAAATTAATATGTTTTTAAGGTTTTATTTAAAAATAGAGGCGTTTTTCTTTGGCTTTTTCCTTCCTTTTTTATTTTTGTTTCCCCTCAATAAAATAAATAATATAGTCGGATCTCAAGTCTAAAATACCCTCTTAGGTTTGATAATTTTATCTGATAATGAGGTGTATCTTTAAATATAATAAGGTGTATCTCTCATAGTCAATTAAAAGGTAGGGTAGCAACATGACCCCCGAAACACCCCCCCCCCCCAAAAAAAACCTGAAACCCCGACGATTTTTGTGGCAAAAACCCTGACCCGAACCCGATGGCTCTATCCCGACAACTTGGGAAACTTTCTAATACCCTTATCTATATCCGAACCAAAATTTCGGATCATGATCCGCTGCCCTTAATTTTAATGAGGGGTATTTTAAATTTAGGTCCATCTATTATTTAATACATCTTATAGCTAGGTTCGCCTTATATTATTAAAATAAATTGCTTAATAATTTTTATTGGACCTAATCATTTTTATTAATTTATAGACTAGATTTATTTTACTATAATTATTTCTAAATTTATTTTTTTTTCGTTTATTTTTTCTGTCAGATAATTTGAGTAATTATTAAATATTAGTATATTTTTAAATAAATTATTTTTATTCTTTACTCTTTCATTCGCATATTAATTGATTTGCGCGCATTTGTTTATCCAGCTGTCTAATAATATCAACACCAAACAATTTAATTTTTAAGTTTATTTTAATCCTCAAAATAATTCTTTGGACAAGTTTAGATTAGTCAGACCTCTATTGTAAACATAAACTGAAACTTATAAGATTTATCTTAAATAGAGAGGGTGCACCTCTAAAGATGAGGGGTACCCCCTCCTCTTCGCATAGGGGTGCCCCTCTTTAATTAGAGAGTACCCTCACCCAGTGACCAACAATCGGTATCTTCCGCTAAGCAGAGGTCGATCGGAAATGACGAAGGTGCCGGAAATCGGAACTCGTAAATGGCTCAAAAGCCGGAAATTGGAAATCAGCCTAAATTTTCGGAAATCGGAAGTTGGAAATTAGAATTCCGATCAACCTCTTCCGCTAGGCTGACTATGACTAATTTTATGTATCCACAATATCAGCATCTGCCGTCAGGGTCTTGCCGCCGAGCGTCTGTCACAAGATTATTTTTTGTGAATGCAAAGCATTATATTGTATATAAGAAATTATTTTTTTAAAATAATTTATTTAATTGTTCCTTATATTATTGTAATATCCAAATATTTGTTCATTCTCTCTCTCATGTTTAACAGCTAAATTGAAGTATCTGTAACGGACGACTGCCGAAAATCCGTTACAATAAATAAATACAAAATGCGCGCTCATTTTCAACAACTAAACAAATAAATATAATTTTTTATGTAAATCTACAAATATTTAAAGGAAAAAGAAACTTCAAAATGTTACGTAAAATATATTTTTATTTCGTAAATTAAAAATTAACGATTAGGTATTTTAACAACCCTTTAGAGTTGAAGACCCTACATATTCCCCATTCCGATCACCCTTTTCGGACATCCCCCTTTTCGGAATTCAACAATACTATTTTAGAATTTGCCGGCCCTATACTTTACAAAAAGATTTGTAGGTTTTTATAAACCTACTTAGCATACCTAGATTAAGTTTGAAAAATAATAGGGTTGGTTGTCGGATAGCTGGAAATCTTCGGATATCCGGACCTAACAGAAAAATTTCCAGATATACAGCCTTTTTTCGGAACCGGATCCGACAGCCTTACTGCCAAATAAAATGTCGACCATTAATTTCTCTCAAATTAATGAAATTTTGATTCAAAATTTGCGGCTGGTCGAATGTTCGCTATGAAAATCCAACTACACGCGTGTTTAAAGCTTTAACTTAATCCCTAACCTTATTTGCCTTCATTTTGTTATTTTTTCTTCCATTCATTTACCCCAAAAATTAAATATAATTTTTAAGTTTATTTAAATTTATTTATTTAATTATTACTCTATTTAAAAGCTTCTTTTTGGATTTTTGGGGGTCTTCTTTTAATCCATGCACACATTGAGAAAACGAGTGTTTATCGCTTTCACAATCCCAAGAGGGAAAAAGCAAAAATAGAAGAAGCAAAATAACGAACACAACAAAAATAAAAATAATATGACCACCCCCCCCCCTCCTAAAAATAAATAAAATAGGGAGAAAATTGAGTGAGACATTCTTCGTATTTTTAAGGGAGTGAGAGGGAAGATTCTCTCGTAAATAAAATAAATATATGTATTCTCCAATTGCAACAAGCATTTTATTAAAACAAATTTTATTTTAAAATTAATTGCTATTTATTTAAAGAATTAAAGTTTATTTTATTAAAAAAATTTTTTGGGGGTTTATTGTGAATAAAAAAATAATTTAAATGCTCTTTTTTAAGCTCTGGACTTCTATTTTTCTATAATTCACTTTGCGAGCTTGTATCATATAGTGAGCTTGTATGTGGGTTTCTATTAAAGGCGAAAATTTTGATTAAGGCGAAAATTAAAGGCGAAAATTTTGAGAATTTTGTAAGGCAGTAGGCGAAAAAAATTCACTTTCTCTGTGTTGCGTGCGAAAAAATTATTGAAGGTTATTCGCAATATCCACGAATTTGGAGCACCATATCCGTATCCATCCGTTCGATTTTTTAGAAATACTATCATATCCGTCCGTATTCGAATATATCCGCGGACATCCAGATTTTGTAAGGCCTTTTAGGAGGGGGGGGGGGGTGGTCATATTATTTTTATTTTTGTTGTGTTCGTTATTACACCTGGATCCATATCCATGTGTAAATCTGTTAGATCTTCAACCTTAGTCCAGGTTCAGCTCGATCTCTAATTTGAATTTATTTAGGATGTATTTTGAGGGTTTTTAATTATTAATTTTCAGTATTTATATTTAAAAATGTTATTTCTTTCCAAATTCTTTCAAAAAACAACAAAAATTTCCTTTACTTTTTATTTATTAGCTACATTCAGCAATGCATTTTGTCCTCCAGGATGTGAATGTAATGACGAATTATTAACTGTATTTTGTGATTTTTCGGGAATTAATGCTGTTCCTATATTGTAATTTGAAGAAAATATTTTTGAAATATTTTTAAAATTTTTTAGACTTAATCCAATGCTTAAATCTTTAACAATAAAGAATTCAAACGGATTGAAATTAGACACATTTTCAATAGCCTTATATCAGGGTATCTTTTTTGGTAATTTCCAAATAACTGATGGAAATTTATTTAACGGGAATAAAAAATTTAATTTCAAGTTTTTCTGATGCCGTAAAACTACCATATATCCTTAATAACCCTGGGTAATTATTGTTTAGACCTTCCGCTGGAGGGAGTAATTAATCGAGGGAGGGTAATTATACGAGGTTTGAAATTTGAACGTGTTTTAGGACTTTGATGGGGGTAATTATTGTTTCAATTTAATTAATGGAAGTGAGGTAATTATTTGAGGATTTGATTGAGGGCAATTAATACAGGTTATACGGTATTCTATCTTTCATTAATTATTTTTAGAATTAGAATATCTGGATATTTCTGACTCGCAAATTAATTTAATTCCGCCTGGATTTATTTCTCAAATGGGCAAATTAAAATATTTATCATTGAGGGGTAATCGGTTAAAATTAATTGATGATCAAATGTTTGGAAATGGACAAAATAATAGGGAAAAATCGAAGCAAAGTTTAGAAGTAAGTAAATAATTTATGAATTGGATTCCAATTTAAGCCCTTTCGAAAGGTGCTTGTAAGTGTAGGACCCTCCTTATTAGAGACCGGATGAGAGGGCCGTATGATAATCGAGATTGATGGCTCGAAAGATATCGATCGCGAGAACCGAGATATAGCTAGAGATCGGACCAAACAGATATTTGGTCAAATTTTATTTAACTTTATTTGATCAAATATTTGATTTTGGCATTTGCCGTTCTCTAGATATAGCCTAAGATCAGACACTATTTTAGACTTTAAAATTAAGTTTAGAATTTTAGTTTTTTTTCCTTTATGATAAGCCACTAAAAACCTTTAAGGGTGGGTTGTTATGATTGTAATAACTAGAGACTGATTTTTTTGGAACGTGATCTCAGTCTGATCTCTAATTATAAATTATATAGCAGTTTAAAATTATTATTTTGGATTTTAGCATGATTATAGGTTAGTGATGTTCGGGAGAAGGAAAAACCTGGGAAACGGGAGTCGGGTCGGGAAATGAATAGGGATCGGGATACTCGAACATCACTACTGTAGGTTTCATTTTTACATTCATTTTACATTTTATTTTTTAGCATTTGGATTTATCAAATAACCAAATAGAAAGAATATCTCCAAACTCCTTTCAATTATTATCTTCTCTATCAACATTAAATATTTCTTTCAATCAACTCCATTTTCTCTCAGAAAGAACATTTTTGGGATTAAATAAATTAAAAATATTGGATTTAACGAGGAATAGAATTTCGAAATTGGAAAAAATAAAAATTAAAAAGGAAGGAATTAATTTAGATAAAAGTTTATTTGAAGGAATTGAAAATTTAGAAGAATTGAAACTTGCTGGGAATTTATTGGCTGAGGTAATTTTTATTTTTGGGTGTTGGGAAGAGTCGGTCTTATGGAATTTTTCCAACTAAACTCTGATTTATGCTTCGGAATAGGAGCCAAATCCCTGTGCTAAATTCTCTATCAGGGGACCGGCTATATGGCAAAATTAAATATTTTATTAAATTTTTGGGATTAGATAATGTAATTTACATTTTTGTGGTACAGTTATAGTTTCGTTTGAAGTTGTCGAATCCGTGATGTAATATAGCTCTGCCGTTGGGCTCGCGGTACCTTGGCATTTTTGTTACATCCAAATTTTTGTTTAATTCGATCTCTAGCCCAAACTACCCTTTTATGATTTAATTAAAATTTCGTACTTTACCTTAAAGAGTTGAGAAAAAATATTAATTTTTCTTTATTAAATTATCATAAAATTTTATTTTTAAAATAATTTTTCTTTAGCGTTTTTCAAAAAATTTAATTACCTAATTTAACTTTAATTTTTTAGTTACCTCCCAATCTATTTCATTCATTACCTTCACTTATTAAATTGGATTTAAGTTCAAATTTAATCAGTTATATTTCTTCTGATGCTTTTAATGGATTGAAAGAATTACGAGAATTGAGACTTGAAAAAAATTTGGTAAAATTTAAAAAACTTTCTTTAATTTAAAAATATTTTAAAGCTTTCTTCTTTTGTATCCGAATCTGGTAATAATAAAATTCCAACAGAAACTAAAATAAAAAATTTGTTTCCTCAAAAACTTGAATTTTTGGACCTTTCAGGAAATTCCTGGATGAAGGTGAATTTTATTTCAAATTTTAAATGATTTGTAGTCGAATTTCTTCTTATTGAGTGGGGCTAATTAAGTAATTATTAAATTGAGCAATTAATTGTCTATCTAGCCATTCAATTTTAAAAAGCCTTTCTATAAAGCTTGGATCACTTTATAAGTCAGGCTTTATTTTTCAATATAAAATTACGGAAACCCTGAAGAAATTTTGAAAGAATTTTATGCGTCATTCTAAAATTTTTTTTCAAAAATTTTAGAATCACAACTTATTTAATTTTATTTTGGTAGAGTTATTATGGTTTTTAGTGCCTATATAGGCGCCTATTTTTAACTTTATCGTGCCTAGACCTAGTTATTATGTAACCCTAGCTTAAGCGATACCCACAATTTCTATCACCAAGGTGTATGTCGCGATCCGATTTTACTATTTATTTTAAAATTAAATGTCTTCAAAACTCTTAAAAAATAATTTTTTTCAGATTCCTCCACTTAATATTTCAACTTTAAAAATACTAAAAATTGAAGAAATGGTTCAATTAAGGGAAATACAAGTAAATAAAATTTAACAAATAATTTTATAATTAATTTATTTTTAGGAAAATTCTTTCACTTTACTTCCAAATTTGGAAAGTCTTTCACTTGCAAATTCCATATTTCTTTCAAAAATAGATCAAAAAGCTTTTGGGAATTTTTTAGAAAATAAATTAGAAACAAATATAAAATATTTGGATTTATCTAATTGCCAATTATCTAATTTGTCTGTTTTGCTTTTGGACTGGAAGAAAATTAAAATGTTGAAATTGGAAGGTAGAATCTTTAAAAGAAATGTCTGAGTACATATTATACATGTTAGACCCTTCTCTAATTCAATTTCGATAGTATTACACCACTAATCAAAAAATCCTGATTCAAGAGGATTCGGGACTTTGCGAGGCAATATTTTGGGTGTTTTCCGGATGGTCGATGCTTGGCGTTGGGACTATGAGATCTTTGTCTTCCAAGACTTTGAGTTCCGGACCGGAACTTAAAAAAGTTCCGGTTTCGAGATTCGGAACTTAAATTGGTTCCGGTTTCGGTAAGAATTTCTGTTCCGATGAAACACTAAAAATTAGTCCTAAAAAGAAGCACTAGCTCATAAATGAGCGGTTTATTCATGCCGCCCACCAATCCAAATTGAATCTTTCGTTAATTAAATTATTTTCAAAAAATATGTTTTAAAAGGAAATCGTTGGAATTGTGATTGTCAATTGATTTCTTTTCTTCCCCAAATTCTTCAAAAAATTAAATCAACTGGTGATAATTTTGTAGAAAAAGTTTTATGTAAAGAACCAAATGAATATATTAATATTCCTTTAATTGAATTTAATTATAAGGTTTTTAATTTTATTAAAAATTAAACTTTTTTACTCAGTGAATAATTAATAGTTCTAATTAAACTAAGGATAAATTAAAAAAATTTCGTATAATATCACTAAATTAATTAGAGTTAGTCTTTTCCACAAAAATAATTGTTAATTTAAATTATACCCTGAATCTACATAATCTCATGAACCTGTAAATTTAAAATAATTTTTAAATTTTTTTTCCAAACAGAAAATGAATGAATGTGAAAATATAAAAATTATATCATCACCATTTTTAGAAAACGAAAAAGAAGAAAATTTAAAAATTTTCAAAAATAATTTTATAACAACAATAATTAGCGGTTTATCTTTATTAATGTTTACAAGTATTATTCTACTTTTGTACTGTTTTTGTTGTACTACAAAAGTAAATAATAGTAGAAGAACAAGTATTATATCGGATAATAATGATTGTTGTTGTTGTTATAGGTAACTTAATATATTTTTAGATCTTGATAGAGTGACCCCTAATAAACGGCACGCGGACATATCGGGATATTTCAATGTACGAACATTTACCCTACTGATTTCGGGACCTACGGCCATTGGTTCTTGGATAGTATATTGTATTATTTTTGTCACCCCAATCCCGATATGTCCGTCCCGATATGTTTACACACCTAGTAAATCTCTCGAAACAATTAACCTTTTTCTATCCCTTCGAAATCATTTTATAATCGAACCTCATTTGTACTACCCCACTCATGTTGAAGAATCTGATCTTAAAGTTAAAGTGTCGTACAATTGCATCTACAGATGGGGATGTAACTCTATCAGAAAATTATAAGCACCCCCTAGTTTTAAATAAAAAACATAATTAAATTTAAAATATAATAATTTTAAATATTTAACGAATTTCTAATTCATATTCGAAAGAAAAAAAAGTCAATCTGATCTTAAAGTTAAAGTGTCGTACAATTCCTTCTAAATCCCCTCATTCCTTCTAAATCCCATTACACAATAACAGCCTTCTTTTTCCAAAATTAATTATCGGTACCCAACAACAACAACCATATTTATATTCTACGGGTTCTACTTACATTGAATCCTTAATTTATGAAAAAGGGAAAGAAAAAGGAATTAAAAGGTTTTTAAGAAAATAATTTTAAAAATTAATTTCTAAATATTATAGTTTACATTGTCCATTTTATGGTTGTGCAAATTGTCCCAAAGTTCTTTTAAATTCTTCTAGCAGCCCCACTAGACACGCCCTTGGATTAAGTGTACGAGGAATTTATTAAGTGTACGAGGATCAAGGATACGAGGAATTTTAGCATACAGCGGGATTTTATTAAGGGATTTGGTGATTAACGCACGATATCCCCGATATCCCTTCAAATCTCCTCATTCCTTCTAAATCCCATTACAATATATCACCTTAATCATCTGATATACGATCCTGAACCCCTTAATCATCTGATCTCCTTTAGTAAAACCAAATCTAGCAATATCTCACCCCAATCCTCCGATAATTTAAATCACCTTAATCCCTCAAATCCACTGATATCCATTTCAATTCTCTTCAGCCCTTCCTTTACCCTCCTGATCCATCGATATACCTTTTAATTCACAGATATCCCTCCAAATCCACTAATTATTTTTAAATAAATCTTTTAAAAAAAGACTCGAAAATGTATTTAACGAATTTCTAATTCATATTCGAAAGAAAAAAAAGTCAATATAAATTATTTATGCGCATTAGGGGATATAATTGGTATTTCCTTAAAAACGACTGTCAGATAACTATAGCCCTCAAGTTTCGGCATTAGGAGCCGTTCGAAAAATCTACAAAAATTTCGGTAAGCATATCTAGCAGGGGTGGGTCAAATCCCACAAATTACAAGACACGAGATTCACAAGATACGAGATTCTCAAAAAATACGAGAACTCTAAAAATTTGAGATTTTACGAGATATGAGACTAAGCCCACTCCTGATATCTAGTGATGTCAATTGAAAATACTAAAAATTAGGCTGAGTTAGAGGAAGATTTGGAAAACAATTTTTTACTGAATTAATAATTTTTAAAATTAAAAAAAATTTTTTTTCCAGTCAAAAGAATCAAAAAATAAATAACAAACAAAATCAACACAATAACAGCCTTCTTTTTCCAAAATTAATTATCGGTACCCAACAACAACAACCATATTTATATTCTACGGGTTCTACTTACATTGAATCCTTAATTTATGAAAAAGGGAAAGAAAAAGGAATTAAAAGGTTTTTAAGAAAATAATTTTAAAAATTAATTTCTAAATATTATAGTTTACATTGTCCATTTTATGGTTGTGCAAATTGTCCCAAAGTTCTTTTAAATTCTACTGATTATCAAAAGAGAGAATCACTTTTAAATTTAAAGGTAGAATAAATCTTTAATTTTAACTAATTTTATAATTTGATTATTAAATTTAAATTGCTTTATGTAAGGAATAGGGTTGCCAAAATGGACCGACTCGGACCGAAAGATCGAGTCATGCCTCGATGTTTGGCCCGAAAAAGTCTCGTACCGGCCCGACTCGATAAATTTGGGCCCGAAAAAGACTCGTAACGGCCCGACTCGATAAAGTTAGGCCCGAAAGTGACTCGTACCGGCCCGACTCGATAAAAACAGGCCCGAAAAAAATTGTCTCGGAAAAAGTCGGCCCGACTCGAACGAGACTCGATAATATTTTTACCAGATTTGTGGACAAAAATGGATGAAATCTGGCTCCTTGGCCTTCCAAAATTCGAAAAATTTTCGCCTGCGGCGCTGAAAAAGGAAGAAGTTTGGTCCTTAGCCTTCCGAATATCTCAAAATTTTTGCCTGCGGCGCTGAAATGAACGATTTTTAGCTCCATACTTTGCTTCACATCTCGAACTTACTGGCTTTAATTGATAAGCTGGATTACTGGGAGTTATGGTATATATTCCGCGGGATCCCGTCATAATTTGAACTTTTGAAACTCAATCAGTTTTGAGAGTCCACAATTTTCCGCAGTTCTAGCAGCCCCACTAGACACGCCCTTGGATTAAGTGTACGAGGAATTTATTAAGTGTACGAGGATCAAGGATACGAGGAATTTTAGCATACAGCGGGATTTTATTAAGGGATTTGGTGATTAACGCACGATATCCCCGATATCCCTTCAAATCTCCTCATTCCTTCTAAATCCCATTACAATATATCACCTTAATCATCTGATATACGATCCTGAACCCCTTAATCATCTGATCTCCTTTAGTAAAACCAAATCTAGCAATATCTCACCCCAATCCTCCGATAATTTAAATCACCTTAATCCCTCAAATCCACTGATATCCATTTCAATTCTCTTCAGCCCTTCCTTTACCCTCCTGATCCATCGATATACCTTTTAATTCACAGATATCCCTCCAAATCCACTAATTATTTTTAAATAAATCTTTTAAAAAAAGACTCGAAAATGTCTCGGTGCCCGACTCGATAAAGTCAGGCCCGAAAGTGACTCGTACCGGCCCGACTCGATAAATTTAGGACCGAAAAAGACTCGTACCGGCCCGACTCGATAAAAACAAGCCCGAAAAAAAATGTCTCGACCGTCGGCCCGACTCGAAAACGGCAACCCTAGTAAGGAAGAAGCAAGATCAGATCCTTATCCTCCATCAGGGAGGGAGGGAGATTAGGAGGGGAGATCATCTCATTAAGTAGAGTAGGGGAGATCAACACATACCAGAGAGAGGTTTAAGATCTATTACACAACAAAGCATAGACCCATAGCACTGCTCTAACTGAACAGGAGGTCCTAGGGCGCTGACTAGGCGGAGCTAAATTTTTACTTCTATTTTAAAAAAATTTTTTCATCTTTAAACCTTTAATTTTTATCAAAGGTTTCAAATGAACATCAACAGCATCAATCTTCTAATAGTAACGAAAACTCCTCTTCTTCATCCTCATCTACAGGAGAAGATTATTATTCAAGCATTGTACAATTAGATAATTTTGAGGAGAATGATGAAACGCAAAAATGTGCTTATTTTTAATTTATTATTTTATAATTTGAATAAGTGTCCTGATTTTCATTTAGTCCGTCTTTTGAACCCTCAGTTTTCGGGGTTCTTTCTGATTTTATGAAATTATCAGTGTCAGATTTTCTAAGATATTTTCATTTGTCCAGTTAATTTTTGCCCAAAAATTCAAAGAAATTTGGTTCCAAACTCATTAGCTTTATAATTACCACATTTACTTAAATAAATACCCCCTCTTCATTAATTACCTTCTCCAGTGAAAGATTTAAACAATAATAACCCAGGATATTTATTTGAGTATATACGGTATAACAATAAAAATTTTAATTCAACTAAAATAATTAATTAAAAATTTTTTTTTCAGTTCATCTAAATCCCCCAAAATCACCACCACCTCCGCCTCCACCAAATTTTACAATTGCTATGCCAGAATTCCCAACAGCAGCACCTCCTTATCAATTAAGGCATAGCAATAGTATGCAATACACAACAACAAATATTAATAGGTAAATAAATTGTTAAAAATCAGTTTATGAAATTTTAATTTCTAGACCAATAAATGGATTTATTAATGATTGTGGTATCAGAAGAGATAATTTATTTTAAATATTTTTTAAATTTATTTAAAAAAAAGTTTATTTGTTTTTGTAGTATTTTTTAATTTTTAATTTATGATCTCAAAATTTTAATAAAATTTTGTTTAATTTTGAGTTTTTAAAATTTATTTGGATGAAAATAATCATAAAGTTTTTTTTTTCTAAAAATAAATGAACAGATAAATAAAAATAGATAACATAATGATAAATAGGGTTGGGGTTTTCGAGTCGGGCCGACGTTCCAGTCATTGTTTTCGGGCTTCATTTTTATCGGGCTGGCCCGACCAAGCTTTTTCGTGCCAAAATTCAATGCCCGACTCCATCTTTCGGACCGTGCCGGATCTGACCCCTAACGCTACTAATAAATAAGTCACAATGGGCGTAGGTCCCGAATATGAAAAAATGTTTTAGAACCATACCCTTACTTTGCAATACGAATAAAAATCCAATTATTTCCTGATCGGACTCATAAAGTCAAGTAGAACCAAAAAAATCCACCTTTTTTAATAAAAGAACAGGAGAAATGAATTACGAAAAAATTTACGATTACGGCGCAACTCTGTTTGTCAGGCTTCGAAAGGAAAGATTTTAAAGGAATTTCTTAAATCTTCTTTTTCTTCTGCTACATTTTGTTAAATTAAAAATTAAAATTTATTATTTCATTATTCGAATCGACCATTTTCTCAACTTCTTTTGTTATTCCTTCCTTGTCTAAATAAAATTCATAGATCCTTTTATTTAGATATGGTTTAATTGAAGCAATTAAATTTATTCTACAATTATTTGACAGCTGGTCATTATAGACATTCATTTGCCCATCTTCAATATCATCAATTTTTGTTTTTGTTACGCAAATTGATAGGTAACGTCTTAAATTTTCTAATACTTTTTTCTCCACAACATCCATTTTCTTGAAAATTTTAAACACACATTTTTCCTCATTTTCCTTTCCAATTTTAACGAAAAATTGAATAAAACCGGCATTGGATGGATTCGCGATAATTACAAAATAATTGCCTCGATTTTCAAATTTTATACAAATTTCAATATGAGAATATTCCATTTCCTTTTTATATTTATTTCTATTTAATGAAAATGGCTCAATTAAATTAACTTTGCCAAACTTTTCTCTTCTTAAAATTTTTCTAGTTCCTTCCAGATTCAGAAAACATACTAATCTTGTCAATTTATATTTCTTTTCAATTATTGTTTGTAATCTTGTTTTCACCCCGTTTATGTCTATATATTTACTATCATGAACATAATTACTTGGAAAATTATCAACTGACAGTTGATTTGCGTCCAACTCGATTTGTGCTTTAAATATTGGTAGCAATGTCATTAATTCCTATAAATAATAGATAAGAAATTTTAAAAAACTGATTTTGACTTTAGGTGAGAAGCTTGATCAGATTCTTAAACTTGAGTCAAGAATCTGTCAAGATACCATCAAAATGCTTGATCTGGACTCTTGAACCATGAAAAATAAAGTTTTGGACCCAGATCCAGGCCGATCTATTTTCACATATCGATAGTTTCTTTTCTTCTCTTTTTTCTTTTTGGCAAGAAATAATGGCCAAGTGCTAGGCAAATAAGAGAAGCTGCTTTTCCTTTGCTTCTAACATTAAAAAAAGAAATCGTTTTTTAGTCTTTACACTTTTTCTACCTATTATTTGTTGAAATATCAAACTAAAATAGATTATTATTAGATCAATGTTCATTTCCGATCACTTTTTAAATATTTCAAAAAATATTAATGTTAGAATTACGGCTAGGAAGGAGTTTAGGATTCACAAGAGAGAAAGCACAGTTATTGTCCTCTGTAAAGAGTTTCTAATTCCTGTCTGGCAATAAACTTTTGCTTAATTTATATTAGAGTTTAATTTTGGAAAATGCCGGATCCGGTTTCTTGATTTAAAAAATTTTTTATCCGGACCGGATTTTTTTTCCTGATCAAAATCCCAACCCATATTCGGTCCGGGTTTTTTTAATTTTTAAAAAATATTTTTCCCAGTATATTAAAAATTCAAATGGAAAGACCTATTACAAATTTTTATAGTAACTACGTAAAACATTTCATCAAATTCTAACCAAACAAATAATGTATAATTGATTCAATGTTTTTATGCGGATGAGTCATAAATTGTAAAAATAAAATAAATACTTCAATTAAAATTCTAACTATTTTAATTTTAAATAAAATTTAAAATTTAAAAAATTTCTAAAATTATTATAGAAAGCTTGTCCATGTAAAAGCAATATGTTGATTAATACAAATATTTTGGACATATCTCAAAATACAAATTAGCTTATTTATAAGTAATTTTAAATTGAAATTTTATAATATTTTTGTAGATTTCTGGCTTTTTAAAATCATTTTGACGGATTTTGTGAAAGAAAAATTGGTGACTTTGTTAACTTCAACAAATGTTTAAATAAAGGTTTTCTAATTTTTTTAAAAGTGTATAGAAATATTAGGTCCGGTCAACTATTTTCTGTGACTTGAGCATATTTGTCAATGTAAAAAGCAAGTTTTTTTGGTATTTTCAACAAAACTCAGAATCAAGAATTTGCAAAATACTCGTCTATAATGATACACATGACGTCATAGAAATAAGGTTTTTTGGAACTTTAGTGATGGTTTTTTATAAAAATTTTTCTCAAAAATTTATATTTTTGTTTTTTTGATTTTTAAATTGAAAATAGAAAAAAATTTTTCTTATTTTTATTATTTGTTGAATAACAAAATTTATTTTTATTTTCTTTCTAAAATTTCTTTAAATACTAATTTTAGATATTAAAAAAAAATAATTATTTCAAAAGAATGAAAGTCCCTCCACCACCCAGTTATGACGAAACAACAGGGACAGCACCTCCTTTAGACGATTCTGCCCACGTTTATCCACCAATTCCGGAATTTAATGACCAAACTTTTCCACAACCTTTAATGGGTATTCCCCCACAGAATGATGATGCTCCTTATTCACATCCACATCCTAATGTTGATCAATTTCTTGGACCTTTTCCGCAACAAGTAAAAAAATTTTTTAAATTTATTTTTGGTGTTTTATTAATTTTTGAGTGTCCTTAATGATGAAAAACCTGATTTCTAAAAGCTTTAAAATTTTTTAAATTTAAAACAAATTCCGAATACCTCTATTAAATTAGCTCCATTTACTATAAACGAATATAAATTGTAGGTGCATTAAAACTCTTCTGGTATCCAGAACTGAAACAATTTTTTGATATTTTCAAGTGTCTAAGAGTCAGAAATTCATCCTTTTAACATCGTATTCGAAAATTTCCGGAATTTCAGAAGGGCAAGAAGCTAGAAATCCTTTGTTTTTTAGAAATCCTTCGTTACCGATATCCAAACTTGAAATTTGAATATCCCGTCCCTTACCGAAAAAATCCTCGGTTCTTCGGTTAGTTTCCAAATTTTCAATCTTATACCACTGATAATAGAAAGCAGAGAGGGTTTTCAAAAAGTCTACTAAATTTTTTAATTAAAATATTTCATATTATTAGGCTTATTGCCCATCATGTAAACAGCATACACTAACTGAAGTTAAATATGTTTCTGGTTTGCTTACTTGGATTTTGGTTTTTGTCTTTATAATTTTTGGGTTAATTTTTGTATTCTTAAATTAAAAAAATAAATTTTTTGAAGATTTGTTTGTTGTTGCTGTCTCATACCGTTTTGTGTTGATAGCTGTAAAGATTGCCAACATCGCTGTACTCAGTGTTATACTTATATTGGGACATATCAACGTGTTTTTGGGAGTACTCGAAGTAATCAAGGGAATGTTATTATTGTGAGACAGAATTAAATTGGAGGGGAAGAAGAAATTTAAAGATATATATTTTAATTGATAGAGACCGGGCTATTCAAATTTTGATTTGTGAGAATCAGAGCTTTGATCACATTTTATTTAAGACCATGGGTCTGCTGCCGCTTTCCTACATCATCCAAAAGTTTTAAGCTCTCTTTTTGTTATCTCATCCGTAGGCAAAAACATGGCCGATGGTACACGATGGTTAGAGGGGAAGTCAGTAGTAAGGTGAACGGATCCGGGTATCCGGAAACAAAAAACCCCGAATATCTGGGAATTTTCGAATACCTGTTCCAGATATCCAAAATCTTCGGTTTGATATCGATCCCGATCTGGGTATCAAGAGGTTTCCCAAGAACTGCCAACCTAGTCGGTAGTAGCGGAAAATAATTTGATCAAAGTTCTAATTTACGAATTTGGCCAGTCTCTTGTATTTTAACCAATGACGCAACCTTTTAATTATTTCAAAATTAACCAGATTTATTTTTAAGTGACTTAAAAATATATTTTTAACTTGAAAGAATTGAATTATTTTGTATTATTAATATTTTTTGCAATTTTCTATATTCAAATCATGATAAATAACAGGGCTGGGCTTTGCTTTCGCTTTCGCTTTCGCATCTTTCGCATTTTTTGGCGCGAAAAGTTTCGCATTTCGCATTTCGCATTTTGGTCCAAATGCGAAATTTGTTTCGCATTTTTCATTTAGCCGACCCGAGAAATTTTCGAAAACCCGACCCAAAACCCGACATTTTCCTTGGAATTTTATTACAAAAAGGGAAGATTTTTGGCTCTTTGGCCTTCCAAAATCTCAAAATTTTCGCCTGCGGCGCTGGAAAATGAAGAAATCTAATAGGTTGGTCTTCCAAAATTCTCAAAATTTTCGCCTGCGGCGCCAAAAAAGGAAGAAAACTATAACGAAATACTGAGTAATTTTGCCGTGATGTTGAAGGAGCAAAAGTGGATGAAGGGTGTATCGGGGGATTTACTTGGATTTAGGTGGATTCGGGGAGATATCGGAAGCTTTAGAGGTGTATCTGGGATTTCAAGGTATTTGCAGAGGGTCTCGGAGGTTTAAGGTATAAATCAGTGAGTTAGACATCTTCATTAGATGTGTTTAAATGCCTTGATATCCCTTTTAATCCACAAATCCCCTGACATTACTTTTAATCCATCC